GATGCGCGCTGGGACTGATGCAAGCGATGCTCCCGCGGCCGCGGGTCCTGCCTGGACCGCGCCGTCCCACCCTCCCTGTGGTAAGCTTCCTGCCGCTAGTAGGCCGACGACAGACTCTTCACTGCTGGCGCAAAAAGGCGTGTTTAAAAAAAAACAATACAACCATCACGATGACCATGGCTATACAGTGCCGCAGCTCGACGGCCGTACTGTTGATGCTCAATATCCTGCACGACCTACATCATGGCACATATCTCTTGTCGTGATATCCACTTCCATGAAGGCATGCAGGATTTTAGGCATTCAGCGCAATGTTAAAATGACTTGTAGCAGGGGAGCTGTCAGGACGTTCAAGGTGACGCAGGATTATGCAGGATTTAAGGCCTCAACCGCACGGCCATGCTAGCTACGGCCGCTGCACCGCTACGGCCAGAGCCGCCCATCACATTCCACCACCGTCGTGTCCAATCGGAGTTGGCTGCTGCTCGCAGTGCCGGCCGACACGGCCAATGATGAGGGCAGGCCGCGAATGACACTAGCGAGACCAATGTTGCGTCGCGGCACAAGGCCTCACCCGCACTTGTGCCAGGGCATGCCGAAGCATAGTCGCCCAGCATGTCCACGTCGACTCACTATACTGAAGCCGGCACGCGGCGGTCGCTGTGGGAAAGAAGCGCAACCGGCGACGCAACGCCAACGTGCAGGCCGGAACGCTGCATGGCCTTCAACCATGCTCCAGCTTGAGGACCAGCTTGCGACTTGGGGAAGGCGCAACACAGCTGACGACGAGGAGGGCAGCAATGTTCGGTCGCGGAAGGAAAAAGGTATTGTGCACGCGCACACATTCTTGCCAGCCATGCGGCCAGTCGCCTAAGCCCATATGTGGCGAAGGGCAGGCCTGAGGCCAGCCAGCCGCCAGCCTTCGCCCTGAAGGAGTTCGCGAGCCTCGGTCTCACTCTGGAGGCTGGGTGATGGGCCCCCGGATGGGACGCTTGGTAGCGCTCCCGCAACGCAACGGAAGGGTCCGAGCACTGGTTGTCAATGACGTTTTCCACCGGTTGGTTGGTCGCCTGCTCGCCAAGCTCTTTGCCTTGGAATCTCAAGAGGCCTGCATGCCACACTAACATGGCCTCAGCACCGGCACCGAGGCTGTGAGCCGTTATTCTCGCTGCCAGCGAAGCATGCACGCACGCCACGTCCTCTCAGTTGACGGCATCGGCGCACCCGACCATGTTTCACGCGGAGCGTTGCCTGCCCGACGCGACCTCCACCAGCTCCTCCCCTGGATGGGGGCCAGGAGCCTCTTACGGTAGGGATTAGTCGCTCCCCCCACCGTGGGGTCCCTTCTCGGCCACGTCGCATTCGTCCGGTGCCATCTCCGGGGCAAGCGCCGAGCTGACCGCCTTTTGCAGCGCATCCCTCACCCGGATGACTTGCCGGCCGAGCCCCCGTGCGAATTACCAGTTGCAGATATACCGCCCCCCGCACCTGCCAGCCGATAACGCGGCCATCGCCCAGTGCCTCTCGGGCGCGGTTTTTGTGTCGCCAGCGGCGCGAGGCAGCAGTGACAGCACAGTTGGGTTTGATATCGGTGTTGGGGTGGGCGGCGACACAGTAGTGGAATCCGGAATCCAGGGCGGGTACTCGTTGGGACCCGTGCTAGACGGGAGTGGCCGTTTGCACGAACCTCGACGCTCCGTGCATGGAGAATCGGCACATCGACACTCATGTACTCAGCACTCGCTCTACGGCGTGCTCCCGGACACGAAAGCCATGTTGCGCAGACTCAGGAAGCCTCAGGGAGCCAATGAGTGAGTGAACCCCGGTTCCCGCAACGTCAGCAAAAAACACCCGCAACGACAGCCAAAAAAAAAACACTCCCCGGGGTAAGAGTGTTTATTTTTTGGCCGTCGTTGCCACCTGGCATTTTTTTTTGCTGTCGTTGCGCTTCCCGACGCGTTTTTTTAACTGCCGGGAAGCGCAGCGACAGCAAAAGAAACGCACCAGGGACCGCAACGACAGCAACAACAAATGCGCCCAACAACAGCAAAAGAAAAAACGCACCCGCAACGACAGCAAAAAAAACGCGTCCCCTCAACGACAGCAAAAAAAACAACGTGCCCCCGCAACGACAGCAAAAAAAACGCACCCGCAACGACAGCAAAAAAACAGCGACAGCAAAAAAATAAACACTCCTGCCATGCTCGAGGGGCAAGGCCGTAAAGAAAGGTGGCGCACGCAGGGTGATGCCGCCTCGTCGTTGTCGGCCCCTTCCAGACCGGCCGCGATCACCGCCTGGGTTGCGCGCTGATCCGGACTCACGGCCGCCGCAGCCCAGCACGCTCTTGCCGCCTCCGTTCTGGTCAGCGACCGGCCGGTGCCTGAGCTGCACGAGGTCCTCGCTGACGCGCGCTAGCCAGGCAGCAGCACTCCGCCCCCCTGTCCGTGCTTGGAGCGTGACCCGGGTCCCGGCACTGGGACCTGACCCTCTTTGACTTGCAATTGCGAAAGCTCTTGGAAAAAAACAACTTCAGTGAACACCACTGCGATCCTGTCGAACTTTTCGACTGCCATCAACACCCGTGGAGGTTCAGCAAAAACTTGACTCAAATGTTGCGGGGCTGCTTGTGGGACACCAGGGTGTTGTCATTGTGTTTTTGCAAACGCCCACCTCCTTGCCATTTGACGAGCCTGTAATGTTGGGTTTTGGGTGCATGTTGCGGCATAGCGGCATAACGTGTCTGTCTTATCAACGAACGCAGAGCAAAAAGACTAAAACTAATCTCAAGCATCAAGTGCATGCCATTTCGACCCAGACTTGGCACCCGTTGCATTTCTTGGCTAAAGCGGAGTTTAGCTTCGACTTTTCACGCCATTTCGAAGATATTATCCACTTATCCGCAAAATGCAGCGGCCTTCAGCAGTGGAGTGTGATGTGTGGTGGCGACAGCCTGCTGAAATATTCCTCTGAGGAACACCTTACTCTACATGTTCTTCACCAATGTGGCCCTTGTGATCGCGTTGCCTCAACAGGTTGTCGCACACGTTCCTTGCCAGAGCTTTTTGCACGACATCGCATGCCAGGACGTGTCCAATTTGCATACGTTGGCACGTGACCTTGAAGCACGCGGTGAGGCTTGCGCAATACGGAGTTTGAACTTTCAATGTGGGCTAGATTTGCATCTGCACGTGCTGAGCGATTGCGTCCTGGTCCAGCATAGCCACAAGTGTCGTTTGATTATTTTGGTTCTACCGGCCCCAGACAAATGCTCTTGACATAAGGCTTAACCGAACGTTTTGTTCGCCCACAAAGTGTCCGACCTGTTTGTTACTTTTGTTTACTACAAACCGGTTTCTGCTGTGCATCGCTCTAGCAAGTGATGGGTGCTTTGCGTGTCCGGTTGCGTCCTGCCGATGCCAGTGCTTACCAAACTTGTGGTCGCAAGTTGAAGCGAGGTTGTTTTTGAAAGTTGGTGGTGCTGGCATGATCAGTGTCCGCTTCCCTACTGGACCGGGGAGGCAAGAGCAGCACCAGTCCGTGGCAAAGGCGCTTCATGAGGGCACAGAGTAGCAGGTTCTGTTGCAGCGACTCCGGAAGTGGAGTTGCATTGTTGCTGCGGGTTTCTGTTCGGTGTATCTCAGTGATGCCATGCAAGGCCAAAAGTTGCAGAGCAGTGCCATTCAGTAACGATGTCTGGCGAGGGTATGCCCCGAGGCCTCTTGCAGACAACTCGCGGGGAGCGAAACCACTCGCATCCCTTCAGCGAGGCGGTCCTTGGTGCAGGGTTCCTCCGTGAGAAAAGCTGCGCTGCGGGATGATGCCAGGCAACCCTTCTCGTGGAAGAAGTGGTGAGCATGGCCACTGGCACTGCAAGCTTTCCAGTTTGGCTGATGGCTTCGTCCTCGGACGAAGTGGCACCGAGCAGAAAGGTTTTGCTGTTTTTTTCTGCAGTTCATGTCGGCTGAGGTGTTTGGCCTTGGGTTTGCCGCCGCCTCTTTCGCGCTCTACACCTGGCTTTCTTCGAGCTCCAAGGGCACTGCCGAGCAGCTGGTGGTCCAGCAGCCGTGTTTGACCCAAGCGGCGAGGGTCAGCGACGTCGGGTGCGCCAGGTTGATAGGAAGAGCGAGGAGGCCCGACAGCTAACCAGGAGTCTGATCTGAGGGGTAAGACTGCACAGCGGCTTCCACAGGCACCGATGCCCGAGGCACCTGTACTTTGGTACAGCAAGACACCGACAAGTTATTGGATATATGGTGAGAAGGATTGTGTCATGAACAGGTGTTCGGCGAAGCTCTTCAGCATGGAGAAGCGGCCATGCAAGATTTCGAGACGCAGACTCATCCCAGTGCTTGCAGCTGTTGGAAGAAAGCTTTTTGTCCCAACGGAGGTCTTTGGCGAAGACGCTGGCGCAATCTGTGGCGCAAAGGATTGGCCCAAAGCTCGCGAAGGGACAGGCGCCCGAGAAGAAGATGTCGGAAGCTGCGGACTAAAAGAAGAAGTGTCAGGCAGTGCGCGGCATCCTGGAGCCAGAGCCTCAGGGGTCTGTTGTTTTTTACTCGCTGCCCAAGTTTTGCACGGCAGATGAAACACTGGTCACTGGCAGGTCGCGCCTGTACCAGTTCCCAGACAAGGCCAGCATCAAAACGCAATAAGTGGCTCACCACGAACTGAGCTGTGTGATGTCAAGGCAAAAACTTTTGTCTTGAATGAGCTCAACAGCACAGCCGGAGCCGTCACGGTGCTTAGTGAGGCTTAGTGCCTGATTGTTGCAGGTGTGCAGCTCGTGAGTTCAGGAGGTTGTTTCCGAGGTCATGCAGGCCATTGAAGCTGAAGAAGCCATGATCTTGTTGGATTTGGCTGTGGCCTGAGATTTTTACAGCTTGTGCTGTGCTGAAAGCCGTTGTGCATACCAGCTGGCGCCTGATATATGATGCAGGGCTGCCACACCCCCCCTCCCCCCCCCACCCCATGGTATCCCCCCCCGCCCCCCCTGTGGGGTGGGTCCTGTGGTGGTGCCCTTCCCCGCCCCCCGTGGTTTCGTTGTTGTGGTGGGCTGTGCACCCCCACCCAGCTGAGGCTTTGGTTGGCCTTGATCGCAGTTGTGCCTGCTGCCGGTGATACTGCTCATGATGTTGTGTTCAAACGGCGATGCGAGTCGACAATCGGATCATCTTTGACATCATGCTGAACATCATCATTGTCGTCGTCATCTTGTCGTCGTCATCTTCATCATCAGTACCATCAA